ATTGAGAAATGCTAAAGAGACTCTTAATTGGAACTCTTCATGAACTTTTTACCACCTCATATTTTTGGCACATTGTTCTATAATGTTGGCATAGTAATGGTGCCACAAAGATGAGGTTACAGAAAGTCTGTAAAGATACTCACTTTTGAAAAAAATTTCTTGGCATTATCGTTGTGTCTCTCTTTTCTCTTCTCATCCGGAGTCAAGCTCGAAGACTACCGGAATTTAATGAGAAAATGCCAGTGACATTAAAATTTATTTTTTTTAATCAAAACAGCTGCAACAAAAAACCACAACCCTTTCAAGAACCGGTGAAATTAAAATTTGTGTTTTTAAATCAAAACAGCTGCAACAAAAAAGCACAACCCTTTCAAGAAACTATGAGCCCGAAATTGAGGGACAAGTGAATCTCATCCAATAACTAATAACACATGTGACCTATCTGCATGCATGGCCAAGTACATGGTGGATCTGCTTTCCATATATGACAAATTCCTACTTTCCCACAGTTTTACGACTTTCCCAATCTCCTCAACATTCAGACCTCACAAATGAACAAATACCTAGTTTATTTCTTTTGTTTTGTAGGCCCAGGAAATCTCTGGATCGACACGAGAAACCAATTAACCAAACCTTGAGAAAGTGCTTTTGGACCTGCTTTTGATCAATAAAATACTATCGCCCACGTCAAAATGCAACTGATTTGATAGTTTTGTGTCTCAAATATCTCGCTTGTTAGATTGGGTATAGAATGATTTCAGAGAGATCGTCTACTAAATCATATTTGGTAGAGTACATAAATACTATAGTTGATCATTAAATCTTTTGTTTATTTAAAAGATTATCTAACCAATCATCACATCATGGGATTTACAAAACATAATTTAAAATATAAAAATACAGTCTACCTGATATTTTTACTTGGTACAAGCAAAAGGGTCCAATTAGTCTGTCTTTATATAAATGTACAGCCAATAGAAACTTAATAGTGACACAATCTTTTTCTATATAAACCCTAGCTATTCTTGCATCTTGCACCAAACCATCATCTCACAATTATCTTCTTCTCTTTGCATTCTGTACTTTTCTAGCTGAGGAAAGTTAGGGTTTCGCAGAAATAAGATGGACGACGAAAAAAGTTCAAGCTCATATTCAATGGGGAAGAGTGCACAAGAGAGAGGCTTGCCATATGTGCCTGGGTGCTATGTGATTCCAACATCACATCGTCCAAGTTTGACTCCAGATATTCCCACTGTTCCGACCATTGATTTTGGAAGACTGAAACAAGGCCCTGATGAACGAGAACTTGTTATTGAAGAAATTAGAAATGTTTGTCATCAGTTAGGGTTCTTCCAAGTAAGTATACTAAACACGCTCTTACAAAAATTTTTCATGCAAAATTAAAATATTGGTTAGTCTATTCTACCCATTAAAAATAAAAGGATTACAAAAATTTTGTAATGCAATCACGTACTATGCATAACAATCTATTCTAACAATATAATAATACATCTACAATGTGAACATCAACTTTGTTACAGTAATAATAGTTGATGATCTTCATGTTCATCTCATTAGATTGTGAACCATGGCATCTGTCAAACTGTGTTGGATGAGGCTCTTCTGTCGGCGTTGGCGTTTTTCAATTTGCCGGGTTCAGAGAAGGCAAAGTTCATGTCTAATGATGTTCACAACCCAGTGAGGTACGGGACAAGCTTGAAGGATGGACTTGATAAGATTCAGTTTTGGAGGGCTTTTCTCAAACATTATGCTCACCCGTTGGCAGATTGGATCAAGTACTGGCCTAACAATCCTTCTAATTACAGGTACGTATCTACAAGGTTCATTCTCTTAATTATTTGCTCTCACGCATGTCCCTCTTATCTATTGCCTTGCTATTTCGGAAAAGTATAAAAAAACAAGGTAGAGAAAAAACATCTGTTGCCGACTATATTTATAACTATAGATACATCTTTTTTAATAAGACCATGCATGGTATTCAGCTAAATTGTAGTCTTGTCCAATTTTGTCAACCTTTGATAAATCCTTAATTTGGGCAGTTGTCGCTCTTCATTTTTTGGCAAATCACATTCAGGGCTGGTTTGGTAATATTGTTGTGCTTTGAAAAAAAACTGTTTCTGCTGTGCTGTGAGAATAAGCAGCTGTGAAATAAAGCAACATAATGTTTGGTAAACTTTTTTGTAAAAGTGCTTTTGGAAAAAAAAAAGTAATATTATAGTGTTTGGTAAACTTTTATATAAAACAGCTGTGACTGTATAAAATGACCAAAAATGGTATAATACTAGATGTCCAATTAATTTAATTTTCTTAACAAATAAAGGTGAATTACTAAATATACTTTATTTTTAAAAGAAAAATATGTATAAACTTTATCTTAAACATATAATCCAATGTTTAACAAGAAATCATAATCCAACATTCAACATATAATCCAACATTTATAACATCTATTTACTATACAACTATTACTCTTTATCTTTTCTTTTATTATGGAATCATAATTTTTTATTCTATATTCTTCCACAAGGTTTGGTTCTCCTCTTTTGCAAAACCTGTATTTTCTTTCCTCTCCGCCGCTCACTCCCTCTCTCATCCTTCTCTCTCTATCTTTCTCTGCTATATCCTAAGAAAGGCTAGGTCGTCGACAAATTCCACTCCTTTATCGAAGACCACCACCGTAGCAACACCAACCGCAATCCCTCAAACACAATCCTTGCTCTCTCGATGGAGATTTGGGATAAGTCGTGGGAGAGTTCCCTCCGTGTTAGTGGCTTCGTCGTCAACAATATTGCCCACAACTACCACCACTTGGTCATCTTCCACTCACCGCCCTCGTTTTGGAGCTTTCAGCATGTCTTCAGCTCCTTCTGGGTCCAACCCAAGTGGCCCTTAGTCTTCACTCGCGGAAGATGGATGAACTTCGATTTCAGGACTTACCGTTGGTGTTAACGGCGAAAACGTCAAGGCTTTCCCGTTGAGATTTTGGGTGTCAAGAAGAAGGGTGCAAATCTAGCATTCTTTGTTCAACCTAGATTTTGACAAAGCCCAGAAATCCGACTAAGAGGCCTCGAATTTAGACAAAATCCAGAAATCCGACGAACCTCCCACCACTCCTATTCGAAGAAACTCAGAGTCAGAGAGGACGAAAAAGAGACGTGGCAGGGTTGGCGATGAAGTCAACGAGTATAATGTATAATTTATTTAATTGCTAAAGGTCATTTTGGATATTGAAAATTTTCATTAAGGACCTCAGCGCCTCTTGTGAAATCGGTTTGCCTAAAGCTGGGCAAGCAAGCAATGGGCCGCAATCACCTGAACTTGCATGTTGTATATGAGTTAATCGTGGCACTTTCTTTTCTGGAACATAGTTTATTACTTTTTATTTGTTTTATCATTATTAATTATTAGTTATATGATTGCAATATTGTTGTAGGGAAACAATGGGCAAGTATAGCTCAGAAGTGAAGAAACTGAGCATGGAGATAACAGAAGCAATCACTGAGAGTCTAGGGATAGGTCCAAACTACATAAGCAAGAAAATGGAAGATGGAATGCAAGTCATTACAGTCAACTGCTACCCACCGTGCCCTAATCCTGAAATTGCACTAGGGTTGCCACCCCATTCAGATTACAGCTGCTTAACCATTGTTCTTCAGAGCTGCCCAGGGCTCGAAATCATGCACACCGGAGACAGCAAATGGAAGCAAGTCCCACAGCTTCATGGTGCTCTCCAAGTCCATGTGGGTGACCATTTTGAAGTACTAAGCAATGGATTGTACAAAAGTGTTGTGCACCGGGCCACGTTGAACCGTGACAGGACAAGAATCTCCATTGCTAGCCTGCATAGTTTGGGATTGGAGGAGAAGATGGGCACTGCCAAAGAGCTTGTGAGTGAAGAGAATCCTGGGAGGTACAGCGAAAGCAGCTTCAAAGATTTTCTGAATTTTCTTGCCAACAATGATCTAGCAGAAGGGAAGAGCTTCATTAACACACTCAAGTTGATGAAAACAATAATTATCTTAAGCTAGCTAGTGCTCTTTTTTTGTCTGTTAATTACTAGTTTAAATTTTCTTCTCTGTTTTTGGACAAGTAGTACTATAGTAATTTTAGAACAAATTGTAAGTCTCTTATAATGTAGAAGGGAACAGGATAGCAGATTCAAGGGTTCAGCTAGTTTGTGATGTGGCTGGCTAGAAGTACCACTCCTAGCATAGTTTGTTGGCTCTAATATTATGGTTATTTCTTTTCTTTGCATGTAGCCCGGCAAGGCAAGTCCTAGCTATGAATGACATTGTAATTTTTAAAACATAAGGTATGAGATTGTGGTTCGGCCTATGATTGAAGTAGTTTTATGTAATTTACTCAATAAACAATATTGATCTAACTTTTGCAGCAGATGATCCATTTTTTTAAGGGTTAATCAAGCTTATTATAACTTTTCTTTTGTCGAAGAGCTTATGAATAAAGATTATTAAATGGAGTTGTAATTTTGTTTTGCTTTGACAAAACGAATTATGTTTTAGATGAATGTCTATGGTTAAGAAGGTTTCTTAAATCTCCAGTATAAAAATTCCCTATACGTGTAAGAGTGCATAACAACTTTTTTCAAAATGTCAATAACAATTTTCCTAATGTATAAGTATAAAACAACTAGTCATCAGATTTGTGAGCATCACTATTTGACATAGATAATAATTAATTAATAACCCTACTTCCTAAATTGGGTATAAAGACAACCTCAAATTCAGGAAGTAGAGATCCAAATAGAGAACATTTTAGTTTTTGAATTCCTTACTATACTACTAGGTCCATCCCGTCCATATGTATATATATATATATATATATATAGAGAGAGAGAGAGAGAGAGAGAGAGAGAGAGAGAGAGAGAGAGAGAGACTAGTGGATGCATGTGCACGTGAAACAAAATAAAATAATGACATAATATTTCAGTCAAAATATCCAACAAACTAGTTCTGATCCCAAAACTTAGCCGACTGTCTTGACCTAACCTTTTGTTTGCTCTCTCGTGTCTCACACTTGATAATTAGTGAAATAATTTCGACAAAAAGAAAAGCTAATTAGTGAAAGAAACTAGTACGTACACACGGTTTCAAGAGATTAATTAAGATGCATAGATCGGCAAGCTGGAGCCGGGTAGCGGATGAGTACTTCATGCACTCAACTTCGTCATCAGCCGGCCGGGAAGGGGCCGTCAGGGCTGCGAGTGTCGGTGTCATTTGATCAAGGCGGAGATCAGCTGCCCATATACGATCCTGTAGCTGAGTTGGCCAAGGAGAGGTCTCGCGTTAAGTTTTCGGAGAATGCATGCATGTCAATATCCCCTTTGTGCTTCTTCTATGTGGCCGTTTTGTTATTTGGTTTTTCTCTAATCCAGGTAATTAATTACAAATAAATAAATATATCGTAAATGTTTATCATTCTAGAGTAACATTTATCACTTGTCTCTAAGAGGAGTCACATTTTTATTTGGGTGATTTTGTATAAAATTGGTAAAAAAGTTACAATAACAATATTTATGTTAATTATATGTAGGTCAATCATGTATTGTAATACTTAAATATACTTAAATATATTTAAGATAAACAAAAACTGCCATTACAATTGACACTTACTTCAATTGACACCTTATTTTTAATTTTTATATTTTGGAATAGATCAATACAGATTCAGAGCAATGTCTTGTTCTAGTTCTAGTTTTATTGAATTCAGACATTGTGGTGTCTATTTCCTAGTTTCGTATTTCACTCACACACCTCCTACGCTTCACACCTTGCACAATTCCTATTTTAACATTCAGATTCAGACATTGTTGTAGACACATACTCTTTCTCCTCTTCTTCCTGCATCAGAGAGAGCTAGACAGCCTCGATTTCTCTCTCTCTCCTCAGATTCAAATTTACCGAATTCAACTCAGATTCCGGGATTGAAAATTCGACTAAATTCTTTCCGATCTTACAATGGCAGGACCTTCGAGACCATTCGATCAGACCCAGATTTCTTCCTCTCCGTCCTCCGAGCATCATCACTGCATGTCAGAATTCAAAACTCTCAATCGTCCTTGTATTACTCTTATACAACAGAACTAATGATATCAGATGATAATAATTTACGACTCAGAAAAGTAAACCATACGATTTAAGGAGACGTCTCGTGAATCAAGAAGCAATATAGCCAGCTAGAAAAGTCAACATGAAGCGTGTTCAAAACCTTGAAAATTTGGCAGCTTTTGTTTGTTTGTTTGTTTTTTTCATCATCTTGTCAATCTTCTATGCAAATTAATTTACTCATTATTCTTTACACGCTTAAAATGACAAAGCAAAATAACACGAATTGACTTAAATGGTAAAATTGTGTCGAACGAGCTTTTCTTACATATCAAGCAAAACTTAATAACTGAAAATAATTAGTGGTAGAATCTTGTGTTACTTTCATTCTAATTTTATTCTCGACATATTGACCATTGAGATACAAAATTTCATTTTAAAAGTTATGATTTATAAGTTTAGCTATCAAGTTTTGACGGAGTGATCAATCATCTAGATGAAAAAATATTCAATGGCACTCTTTTGAGTCTTTTCGATTACAAATTATAATCAAAAGTCAAATTTTGAGATAAAGCATCTGACTACATCATTTATAGAAATACTTATCATAAAAGTATAAGATTTCATGTATTTTGATTAAATCCGATTTTAAACTAATCTCGTCTGATATGAAAACTATCATAATTAAATAATTCATAACGGGTCGAAGAGTATATTCAAACTAAAGAGACAATAGAATATCTGGCCCACGGGACATGCCCAACACAGAGTTGGCAGCGTCTTTGGCTCCAAATTTACGTGTTTAGTATAACCGAACTTTTCGGTTTCATCATCGCTTCGTCATTTTTTCCAGTTCTATTTTCCTCCTCTCGCTCCGTCAACCTTTTCCTTCCTAAAATCTGACCTGGTCCAGATTCTGTTCTTCCTGGACCGGTCGAGTTTTAACCAGATCAACGACTCACAGTCATGAATCCTGAATAGTAAGCTCCCGATCTCTTTCCCCTTTCACTTTTGTTTCCAATTACGCGAACTTTTGCCCCTCTTTGCATCTGAGTATTTTTGTACCATTCAAATGTTTGGAAATGAAAGTGGGTCTTTTTTTTACTACTTTTCTTTGATTTCGGCGAAAGCAGATTGAAGGTTTGATCTTTTCTTTAGATCCGTGATGATTTGATGCTGAAATGTAATGGGTTTGTGGTCAATTTTGAAACCCTTTTGAAAAATTGTTAATTTTGTTGGAATTCTGTTTGTTTGCTTGTGAAAATTAAGAAACTGAAAACCCAAAATATCGGATTTGTAGTTGATTTCATTTTTGTTTGTCTCGGCTTTTAATTTTGATTACTGAATAAAACAAGAAGCATTGAATTATCTTAAGATCTTAAATTGTAGCTTGGATCATCGTGTGGAGGTTAATAGGTCAACTAAGATCTTGATGGTCAGCTAGTTTTTGGGCTCAGTGAATGCATATTTACTAAATATAAATTACCTGTGGTTAAACCAACAGGGTTAATTGTTAGTTTGCGACTGAACCTGTTGAATTCAGATTTGAAGTATTGCTAATGAATGATTATGTTGGAATGTTATTTGCTGCAGTGATTACTTGTTTAAACTTTTGCTGATTGGAGACTCTGGGGTTGGAAAATCATGTCTTCTTCTGAGGTTTGCTGTAAGTTGTTCATACTTTTTGATTAAATTCATACGGATGTTTTTGCATGATTCATTGTTTGCATTACTGCCTCTCCTGTTATAGCGAACTGCTTAATTTATACCTCTTTGTTTTGATCAAATGAAATAAATACTTACTCCCGTGGAAATTATAATACCCATTGTCGAAAGCAAATAAAATGTATGCTTTGTTTCTTGAATCAAGCTGTTGGGGTTAGCTCAAGCGGCGAGGGAGGGTAGGTAGTGGGTTACGATTAGGATAGGTCCAGGGTTTAAATCCCTCCAATGTAAGTTGTAACCATAGAACTAATACTATGAATCGTATTGATTTACTCAAAATATTCAGTTAGTATAATAACATATTCATGGTTTTCTCTATCATATAATACCTATTGTTGAATGTGACATTCTGTGCAGGTGTGTATACTTACTCCCATGGAAATTATTATTTGTTTTGATCAACTTTGAGAATCCCAACTGACTTTTCAATTTAGATTTTCTTGTTCCTGAGCTTCTGAAGCATAGTGTAATATGGCTAATCATTTCTGGAGCTGACTTCATCAATATCAGTGCTGACCTTTTATCTCTATCTATATGATGCAGGACGATTCATATCTGGACAGCTACATTAGCACAATAGGAGTTGATTTTGTAAGCTTCATATTCGGGATCTAAATAATGTTATAGAAGATATGACTGTTGATTATTTTTCTTGTCCTTTCTCTGTAGAAAATTCGCACAGTGGAGCAGGATGAGAAGACCATTAAACTTCAAATTGTGAGACTCTCTCTCTCTCTCTCTCTGAAATATGGTACTGCATGGGCATTTAAGCCATTTAGCAGTTAAAGAATACCTTTACTCACATATCTGAACGTTGATGTCAAAGTCTTGTGGCTGGTTGTTTTAATCATTTAGTCTTTTAAGAGTGGGCACTATTTTCCTTCTTTATTCGTGTCCTTTTTCTCGGATCATATGTGTGTTTTCTTGTTAAAGAGTTGTGTTACTGGTTTGTTGTGCCTTTTCAATTGTTTGTTCAATTACATTCAACTACTTTAGTAGAACTTCTTGTTGCATGAGATTGTTTATGTGTTTACGCTTTGTTGATTGTATTATGAACAAATATGTATCGTGGGAATGGAACACTTATTCTGGCATTATTATTGAGCTGAAACTTAGTTCTGGTGCATATTTCATAATGTTCTTATCGTATGAAACACTGTTGTTTAGTCAATCTAGCTATAAGACTTATCTGTCATATTTGTCTTTGCCTCCCTGGACATGTAGTGGGACACTGCTGGACAAGAACGTTTTAGGACAATTACTAGTAGCTACTACCGTGGGGCACATGGAATTATAGTAAGTTTGCTTTTCTTCATTTGTTTTATGTTTCATTGTCACGGTCACGGTTTTCCTCGAGGTTGTGTACTGTGGATTCTGTTTATTAATGTTGGTGTATGTTGCAGATAGTTTATGATGTGACAGACCAAGAGAGCTTCAACAATGTTAAGCAATGGTTAAATGAAATTGACCGTTATGCTAGCGAGAATGTAAACAAGCTTCTTGTAGGCAACAAGGCCGATCTCACTGCTAACAAAGTTGTGTCTTATGAAACAGCTAAGGTGAAAATTTTGTGAACCTCCCCTTGGTTTCTGTTTCCATATTTTTGTTTAATGGATTCTCCTTATTGACTCATTGGTAATTTAACAGGCATTTGCGGATGAGATTGGGATCCCTTTCATGGAGACCAGTGCAAAAAATGCTACCAATGTGGAGCAGGCTTTCATGGCAATGGCTGCTGAAATCAAGAATAGGTACTTTTCCATATGTCTGTGTGTGTTTTCCTTACTCCGTATTTTATAAGATAAAAGGTTCAATTGGGCACAAGTCGTGCACAGTTTCTGCGTCTTTGAGTTCAAAGATTTATCACTGTCCTATCGGTATTCACTCATTTCTTTCACGACATAATGCAGGATGGCAAGTCAGCCAATGAACAATGCAAGGCCGCCAACAGTGCAGATCCGCGGACAACCCGTCAACCAGAAATCTGGCTGCTGCTCATCTTAGTTCGATTCTGTTGCTGATCTTATGTGGCAGGAGTGCGCGTAAGAGAAGGCTTCTCGTCATTCTTATGTAAACCGTAGGGGACTGTTTGTGCATTCTTAAACAATATATCGTGACTTTGCTCGTCAGTAATTCCATTCTTTATAGTCTTTTAACTGGTATGTACAAATGATGTCTGCTGCTCAGCTACATTTCAAATTTATCTGGTTTCTTCTGTTTAAAGTGACTCGTTGAATTGTTCATGTGGATGCTTAGAGGAAATTTGTACGTTTCTGATATTATATGGCAACTAGCCAAGTTATAAAATCTTGAAATGGACCACTCCATGAGACAATATTTTTTCATCAAATGTCCCTTAATTATAAAATGTAGATTTATCCCAATTATTTTTGTCAATTTACTGGGCAAATGATAAGGCATACGAGACAGAAGTAGTGCTCAAGCGCTAATTAGTTAGTAAGATAGTATGGTGCTAATTTCTTGTATAAACTCACTCTACAAACTTGTTTGACAATTCAAATTGTTAAATTTGAGGTTTTCATTCAAACATCATCCTTGAAAGTTTGGGAATCATATCACATTTTGATCAATATCGTGAACATTTTATTAGTCAACAATATTGTGTGTTAATGGTTTGGTCATAATTGAATAACTAAACACCTATTTGAGTGTGCTTTTGCCGGAATAATATTTCAGTATTTGAATTTAAATGATGATCTTTTCATATCATGAAACTTACACCCCAAACTAAAAGTCAGTGCCCTAAACTAAGAAAGATTATCTTATTTAAGTTCATGTCATCTGAGTTGAGAAGGAAAAGTTGCAAAAAATAAAATAAAATTCGTTTGGCCAAAATTGCTCCAAACAATATAAATTCTGCAGAATTATGACTGACTTAATGCGATGAAGGGGACATAGGCCCTTTTCGAATCTCTCGGAGCTCAAGGACCAGACAATTTGGACTATTCAAATTGAATCTGACAATTCTGATTAAATCAATTTGTTGGTCCACCTCACACAAACCAGGGGCTACAATTTCTCTTCAACACAAATCAAGGATCCGGATTTCCTGATCTTTAGGCTTCGGACAGTAAGGCCTGAAGAGATCCAAATTCTAATGAAGGCATTTCATTTCATCATAAACATAGTATAAAAAAGTGGGACTCAAAAAAACCCTTTCCGCATTTTACAATTGTACACCTCCCTCCATGAGTGATTCGACTGAATCAACTTAATTCATTATTCTCGTAATTCTTCTATCTTAAGCTTGCTGTGAATCAAAATTGTTAAAAAATAAAAAAATTATAAGATGTAAAAAGTAATTTTCTATGTGACTTTGATGGCACCAGAAGAAGAAGAAGGAGACAAGTTTGCCCCCTGAGAGGGCTGAGGCTGCCCAATTTTAAGCTCTAAAGCATCTTTCTCAGCTGCTGACGTCATGCTGCTGATCCGGCCGGCTGCCATGGATGGACTGCTTGGGAGGGACCTTGGTGATGATGGGATTCCAGAAGGGTGAGAAATGACAGGTGCACTAGTTGGAAAGTTACCATGGTTTTTGATCATGTGGTGGTAACTTGGTCTGTAAAAGTGCATCATTGGGGCGTATGAGACATTTCCTGGAATTCCCATCTGTTCAAACATGAGCAAAATCATCATCCATAAGTTTGGCACTTTGTTTTAGAAAAATTAACTTCAAATGGAAACAAACACATTTCACTTCATATTTCTTCTAATTCTCCTTCTCATAGGTTAGAGTAGTTTCAAATATATAGTCTTGTAATATTGTGAGAAAACTTCATTTCATGGTGAAAGTACTTTAAAATATCATTTTAAAGAAACAAACTCATAGATCAAACTGTAATTGCAACCGACTATTGCACCTGACATTAACAATTGATTGGTGAGTGATTTTTGTTCTTTCTATTGTGCGGTTCTTGAAGTATTTCTCGCTAACAGTAACAGTTGTCACGGGGATTACACTGATAGATTAACACTCAAAACTAGGTTCGCATACAATCATGGGGAAAAGGCAAAAGGGTTCTTACCATAAATGGCATGGCAGGGTAATTTGGAAGAGTGCAAATTGGAGACAATGGAGGAGCTGGGGGGCTATCCAAGCACAGATGTGGGAATCTGTCAAGAATCTGAGTTGGAACGTTGCTAGCCGGTGGCGAGTTATTGCCTGTATTGATTTTCAGTTGCCTAGTTTTAGAGCTGCTAGCCTGTGGTGAAGTTTCAGCAGCTGACTTTGTAGGTGTAACTGAGGAATCTTGAGGACCCTGATCCTGCAAATCCCATCAAAATCCAGTCATTGTTATGAATTAATAAGAACTGCCTCTACCATATTGTAAAAGAAATTTGCATAAACAGGACCGGTCACAACCTTTTAATCAAAAGACGTATATAAGTTAATTAGGGTTTAGTGCTTCTCTATTGTTAAACAGTGCCATCTCAATTTTACTTCCGATAGAAATTCATAATATGTTCTATCCGTGCAATGCATATTTTCTCGGAAACTGTGCAGTACTTGTTTGAAGTGGGGGAGGTAGAATTACATAGAGTTCTTTAAAGTGCATGTCAAAGAGGCTTGATCTGCGTTTCCTCTTATCATTTGTAGCTTGCCTGAGGAAATACTTCTGTGCATGACTAGCAACCTGGGTTGGGGTTCTTGTGGTCACAAAGTTTCTTGCTATTCCTCTCCAATCACCTTTCCCAAGCTTCTTCAAACCAGCTAGAAATACTCTATGCTCTTCCTCAGTCCATGGCCTCCCTGAAAATATTCATTTCAAATTCAGTCAAAACCAAACCTGAAGAATCTAGATGCAATTACGCTAATTTACAGAAAAGGAATTTGAACTTGAGCGCAAAACTAGCAGATGTCTTGGACAACTGATTTAACCTAAACTAGGTCTCCAGAAATAAAAGGGTAATTTTGAAGATGCCATTAAAGAAGATCTACGTATACAAATAATCAATGTAATACAAAGAAGAAAAACACCAATGAAGAACAATGCAGTCACACATGCATTCCTTTAACATCACAGAAGGCAATTAAATCAAGGAGCAAACAGAAAACCTAGACAAATAAAATCAGTTGGAATTGATGAAATTATCAACAACAAAAATAGACCTTTTTTTCTCTCATGGGCGGCCTTGTGTCTCTTGTTATGAATGAGGCCATCGGAGAGGTAGCCAGGATCGTGATCAGCCCCAACAGCGTTGTTGTTGTGGTCTCCGTTGCCGTCTGTATGCAGATTCCCCATGCTGTAACTCTTCTTTATAGAATCCTCCTGGTTTTCCAAAATGTTCACGCCGAAAAGCTTCAAGCAAACCCCTTTATTTACATGGCTGTGGTTGCACGTCCTCGAGTTGTGGCCATTGTGACCACAATGCGAACACTTTCGTGCCGATTCCTTCACCATAATTTGCAGCCCTTTTCTCGTGGAGATCAATCCACAAATCTTCTGGTAAAAATAACAAAGAAGATGATGGATTTGATTGCTTAGATATTGATTGGTTTTGGGTGAAAAGAAAAAAGAATATTAGTTTTTCTCTCTTACGTGCAAAGGAAGGTCTATACGAGTATTTATGGAGCTTTTGGTTTCCTTTTCTATAATAAGTCTATAACAATCAAACACACGTAATTTTACTTTTTCCTTCACCACTAAGCTCACTTAATCCCTTTACTAATTTTCCCTACAAAAACTACGAAAAAACAGATGTGAAAGTTGAATCAAGGGTTGTGATTGTTGCGGTGGCCGGTGAACTATAACCTAAGCCGTTGGATTTATGGTTTGTGAAATTGGTTGATTTTTTTTACTTTAATGGGTAACTGGCACGTGGAAGTGCACTTCCAGTCCTATGTGAAGCTGGTCTTACGCGATTGTCTGTGCTTCTCTGGAAAGTCGGTGCGCGTTCTTGGTCCTTGCTGCTAATTTTATCTTTTTACCCAAAAATAAAGGAGAAAAAGAGAAGAAGAAAAAAGAAGAAATAACTTGTACAGCTTTTTTTTGTTGATTTAGGTTAACTAATTTGGGAGATAAATATTAACAGCTAATATGGATTTTAACTCGAGTCCACCCTGTGAAATTCTAGAGCAAGGTAAAAAGCTACCTGTTTCCGTATGTTGTTGGGACTCAGAGATTACAATTGGACGGTCAGGATTTGTTGATATTTGATTAAGCTTCAACTTACAAAAAAGGAGGTGTGGTAAAGCTTGCTCAAATGTGGTTAATCTGCTTATCATTCTAGTTATTTAGACTCAAGCGATAAGCTTGCTTAATTATATAAAGCTGGCCATTTGTTACTTGGATGCCAAGAAAATGACTTACAGATAGCATAAAACACATAATAAGAGTCAGTTCCGTAGTTAAAAGAAATTAGACACATAGTATAAATGATATGGATTTTTAGTCAAAATGGTCTCTAAGATTTGCATAACACATAACTTTGGTCTCTGAAATTTAAAATCAATAGAAGTGGTACATGAGATTGTCCACCATCTATTATTTTGATCATTCCGTTAAAAAACTCCATTAAGTTGAGGGTATGACATATAACTTGGTCTCTGACATTTGCATAAAACATAATTTTGGTATCTGAGATTTGCATAACACATAACTTTGGTCCCTAAGATTGTCCACCATCCATCATTTTGGTCATTTCATTAAAAAGCTCAGGGACCACTTAACAAAGTTTTTTAATGGAATGACCAAAATAATGGATGGTGAACAATTTCAGGGACCACTTCTATTGATTTTAAATCTAAGGGATCAAAGTTATGTGTTATAAAAATCTCAGGAACCATTTTGACTAAAAAGCCAAATGATATTTAAAAGGACGAAGTGTTATGGTTTGAGTTGCATGCGTCTTTAGTTTTTATTCTTGGAACAAACAGTGTTTGTTCGAAGAAAAAAAAATTTCTACGAATATATATTTTCAGTTTTGTTAATTCTACCTTGTCATTTACAATTTTATTCAAATATATGATTTTATCAATCTGTATAACTTGGCAATCCACAGTTAGGCCATGTGATGCACTTTTGTATACAAAATTCACTTATCATCTTTTTTTAGAACCTAGGCAATACAATTTTATTGATATGAAAAAAGAAATTATTTCTAGAGAGGGGACATCAATTTTACTTCTCATAAAGCAAGAAAAATAAAATACAATAAAAGAGAGGATATAAACATTTCCCTTCTTGAAAAAGAAAATACAAGAAAAATAAGAGAACATAAATCTTATCTCTCTTGAAAAAGAAAACAAAAGAACGGGGGAAAGAGAATAACCTGAGAAACAAAAAGGAAAATCCAAAAGGATTGGGTAAAAAAGAAAATTACTCATCAAGAATGACAGATAACCCTGTAGGCATTACCAATAAATTTGTATGCAGAAAAGAAAAATCTCTATAGGAGAAGCGGCATGTCAAACAAGAGAAGAATGGAGAGACCCTAAATTGGTTAATTTGTTAGCAACTACATTCTTTTCTCGAAATGTATGGAGCAACGAAAAACCATGTGTTGCAAACGAGAAATACAGTTTTTCCAACGAGTATGGAGCAACCAAGGAGGAGAAAAAAAAAATTAGAAGCAAGGTAACATGTCACACTAAAAAGTCACTTTCAAGCATAAATTTTGTCAATCCAGCGCGTGAGCTAACTCCACAACAAGGATGACAACATAAAATTCTGCATAGAAAGAAGAAAATTCCTTATCAATTGGCATAACACAATTTAATTGTAAGTAAACCTTAAAAAACTTGGTTGTAAGTCCCTAATTTTGCCCAAAAAATTAGAGTTTTAAGGCTTGAGCTTAGATTCTTCCCGTCCAACAAAATTAAGTGAGATTTGTATATGAACGGGTTATAATGCTCTTGAACTGAAACACGCAAGACACCAAATATACCGATCGACTTGAACATATGATATGACCAAACGCTATGAACCCCTTGAAAATAAATTTATAGGTATAACTTCTATAGTGCTACTATTTTAGGCTGACATCTAAATCGTCTTCCTCTTAAGATATTTGACTTTAAAGTACGTTTAGATTAATAGCTTGCTAATCGGTTTGAACGATTATCGAGTTAACCTGATATTAATTGCAACTGAAGGATATATATTTTTTCCTTTGCTGGTATTTAAAAGATATATTACTATAATATCAATATTGGGAATAGAATCTTATTGTGGACTAAAAACGAAAAATCTTGACAATTAATAATATATATCTTTCATAATTAAGTAATTTTCTGTCCAAAAGATAGTAACCAAACAATGAAAAAAAATTCAATGTGCCTATAAATACGGGACGGTACATCACATGTTATTATATAATTGAAGAGAAATTAGTTTTTTCAAGTGTCCCTCTAATTGTATAATAACATGTGGCGTACCATGCTTTATATTTCGCAGACTACTATCTACTAATAAACTTGTAGTCAAAGGAACAACAATTGTGGATTTCTTTTGCTCTGAGTGTGCTATAGCAAAGAATCACAAGTTACCCTTTGGTTCTTCCACATCATCAACTACTCATAACTTAGAATTGTTACATTGTGATTTGTGAGGTCCTGCTCCTGTAACTTCAGTGAGTGGATTTAAGTACTATCTCCTCATAGTTGATGATTTCAGCAAGTATAGTTGGATGCTTCCTTTAAAGGTCAAGTCCCAAGTTTATATACTTTTGTACTCTTAAAAAATTATGTAGAAAACACAACTGGAAATACAATCAAAACTGTACGTTCTAATTCAGGGGGTGAGTTTACAAGTCTATCTTTTAAATCTTATCTTCAAACTCATGTCATTCTTTATCAATTAAGCTGTCCACACACACCAGAACAAAATGGTTGTGTGGAAAGGAAATATTGTCATCTAGTTGAGACAGCTAGAACTTTATTGGTTCAATCCCATGTTCCTCATCAATACTGGGTTGAAGCCTTCACAACTACACTATATCTCATCAACAGATTGCCAATCTCTGGGATTTCACAATCACCTTAGGAGTTATTATTTCATACAGTTCCAAATTACTCAAGGCTCAAAGTCTTTGGTTGTTTGTGCTTTCCATGGTTAAAACCTTATGTGTCCTCCAAACTTAATGGGAAAAGTAAAAGATGTATTTTCTTGGAATATAGCCTACAACATAAAGGTTATAAATGTCTAGATATAGAAACACAAAGGGTTTATATTTCAAGACATGTAGTCTTTGATGAGGCTACATTTCCTTTTCATGATTCTCATCACCCTGTGTCTTCTGTTTCTACCCCTACATCTCAGCCTATTGATTTGGAGTTTTCTCTACCTTTATACATTTCATCTAATGCTCCATCTTGTGCTTCAACTTCTCATCCAGCTTGTGTTGAACCTAACGCCACTCATTCAATTGTGCCTAGTGATACCACAAAATCCAATCATCTTTCTATGCAGCAAGTTCCACATATGCAAGAAGTTCAAAATGTACACCCCATGATCACAAGGTCTAAGAATGGCATTTATAAACCAAAAGCATTCAGTACAACTAAACATCATCTTCCTTCTTCCATTGAAGTGATTCCAACAACATATCTGCAAGTTTCAAAATATGCAAATTAGAGGTTAGCAATGCAAAATGAATTCAATGCTCTTCAGTCTACAGGTACTTGGACTCTTGTCCCTCATACATCCTCTCAGAATGTTGTCGACTGCAAATGGGTATTTAGAATTAAAAAGAACCCTGATGGCTCCATTGAAAGATACAAAACCCTGCTTGTTGCCAAAGGCTTTCATCAAAAGGAAGGTTTAGATTATAAAGAAACTTTTAGCCCTATAGCTAAACCTGTCACTATTAAAATCTTATTAACATTTGATGTGCAATTCAATTGGTTCCTTAATCAGTTAGATATTAGCAATGATTTCCTTCATGGGGATTTAAAAGAAGAAGTGTTCATGGTGCAGCCTCTTGGGTTTCAAGATCCATCTCTTCCAAATCATGTGTGTAAGCTCAAGAAATCTTTGTATGGTCTTAAACAAGCCCCTAGGGTCTGGTTTGATAAGTTGTTTCAGGCTCTCAAATCTCTTGGTTTTACTCAATCATCTTCTGATGCCTCTCTGCTTGTTCTTAAAGTTCCAACCTTGGTCATTGTACTGGTTTATGTTGATGATATTCTCATCAGTGGTCCTAATGCTTCTCTCTGCCAACAACTTATTCAACAGTTGAGTACCTTATTTCCAATTAAACCCTTACACTATTTTTTGGGCTTGGAAGTTCACGGAACCAAAGACAACATTTTCTGCATCAAGGCAAGTACTTACTTGATCTCTTACAAAATACTAATATGGATGGAGCTAAACCTTGTTGTACACCCCTCAGTTCTGCAAAGTTGGATCACAATGGTGAATTGTTACCTAATCCCATTGAATATCGATCTTTAGTTGGTGGTCTGCAATACCTTACTTAGACTATACCTGATATTTCTTTTGCTGTAAATCAGGTGTGCTAGTTTATGCATGCCCCAACAGTTAAACATATGCAAGCAGCCAAGAGGATTTTAAGATTCCTCAAGAGCGCTATATCTCAGGGTCTTTTGTTCAAACAAAGTCCTTTACATATTCTGCCTACTCGAATGCAGACTGGGCTGGCTGCACATTTGATAAAAGATCCACTAGTGGGTTTTGTGTCTTTTTGGGTTCTAACTTGATTAGTTGGTGTGCAAAGAAACAAACCACAGTGGCTCGTTCATCCACTGAGGTAGAGTATAGATCTTTGGCTCAAACTGCAGCAGAGATTACTTGGATATGCAAAGTGTTGAAAGATTTTGGTTTTCCCATGACTGCTAAACCCACTCTCTGGTGTGATAACATTTCAACCATATATCTTGCTTCTAATCCTATTTTGCATGCTCGTACTAAGCATGTTGAAATATATTATCACTATATCTGGGAATTGGTTCTTGCCAACTTAATCAAAGTCCAATATGCGTGCAGTCAGGATCAAATTGTTAATATTCATACAAAGTCCTTGTCAAAATCCATATTTCAGTTTCTACAATCCAAGCTCTCACTTGGAATCTTGCCTTCTTCCAAGTTTGGCTTGAGGGGGTGTAAAGATGAAGATGCCAAGTCATAACAACATATGGTTATTAGTTTGTTATAGGTGTGTTGTAAAGTATTTTGTTTTGGCTTGGTAGAGAGAGAATCTGTTTCATCAAGCTTGATATTTTTTTCACTAAAAGTAGAAGATATTAATTATTAACCGTCGGATTTACTTGTGTTTCTATGGAGATTACGATAACTTATTTCAATTAGGCAGCAGGAAATTGTTATAACAAAATCATCAAAATTAAGGTAATAGAATTGAATTTTAAAGCTCTAACTACAACACATGCATATACTCAATACAATAATCATTTGACGGTCAAATATTATTCATGTAATATATGTATTTAATACGTTTATCATCTGACCGTTAAAATGGTCATTGTATTAAATATATATAAGTATTGTAGCCCCGTGCCACTGTCAACTAGTTTTTGTTATTTTGGAGAAAGTTTTATACAATGCAACGAATCACCTCTACATTTCAAATTAAACTATTTGTAACATACATGATATCATATCTTTAACAAAGATCAGACTTGTTTGTATTGTTGGCAATTTGACATCTGTGATAGAGGTGAGACTCACTTAAGACCGAGATAGAGCCATGATTTTTTTTTTCTCAATGAACACTGTGGACTAAACGACATAACTTGTTATAAGAGCCTCCTAATATTGTTTCCCACATCCTCGACTAAAATATATATACATATTACAAATATAAAGGCATAAATGAAATCATAATGACAAAATTCGACGGTACGAGTAAACTTAACAAATATACACCTATTTTTTGAGAAAAGATCGATAGCTTTAAGAGTATCAAAAGGGTTGCAAAAATCCATCACAACACTGCTTCTTCAAATAATAAATCAGAGACACTTGAAAGCTAAGATAGGGGTGACAAAAGGGTTACAAAATGGTATCAAAAGGATTACAAAATCCATTACAACACTGCTTCTTCAAATCTTTTTGGCTGATTCCAGGACGGATGACAATACCATTATTGAAGCTCTTGACCAAAAAGTAATGGAGGAGATGAATATTCCTATCTGAAGGGTTACAAAATCCACTATTATACTGCTTCAAAAACTCAAGTCGTTCTAGAGGAGGTCTCGATCGAGCAATGAGAATTAGGCAAACAAAATTTTGAATCCAGTTATGGTGAAAAACATGTTTTTCGATAAGTCAAATTTTGTTTCAAAAGAGGATCGATTATTTTCGTTGGTTTATCCGTTTTCAACATGAATATTTTGAAACAAGTAGTCTTATATAATACAGATTCTTTTACCATTTGCAAACCTACACAGAAAGTTGTCGCTTAACCTTTTTTAACCCTTCATCTTTTGTATGGCTTCTGCAAGGAAATTGTTATTAGCACTCCAAGAGTCTCATTCTACACTCCTTACAAGTGTATTTTACTTTCTAATTATAGAAAGTTTAGAGTACTAAGTGAGATTTTTGAACAATTTCATTTCTGTAATACCTTTAATTGGAAATATAAAATACTTTAAAATGTATATTTTATTTTCGCAAAAAGCTCTTCCATTGAGGAAATGCAAAATACCATATTAATCTGAAAATGTAGACAAAAATGTAAATTTACATGTTCATCCACTCATCCACATCTTTAAGATGCACATATTACTTTTATCAATACACATCTTCACCGTATTAATTTGATAATAAAATTTACACATCTCCATGATTTTCCGTAGACTAACAAAAAAGTTCAAAGGATCAATCTCAAAACCCCCAACAAAACTTTAGGGAGGGGCATCTATTTCATTACGATCGCTTAGACGATGCCATCATGGCGACACGTACTCCACAGAGCCACATAGCATATCATCGTCATCACTCAGTCGAATCAAATCAAATATGATCAAGAATCCAGCAAAATTCAAAAGAAAAATATAATTAAAAACACAAACCTTTTCTTTTCTTGCAGGAAGTTAAAAATTACAAATTAAACAAGTTCTCAGTCCCCAAATATTCAGCTCATTACAAGAGAAAGAGAGACATACATTTAATTAACAAAATAAACAGAGACACACTAACTCGTACAACAAAATACACATGAAATTACAGAGACAGAGGACAATCAATGCACTGCCCTATCTATGTAAAAATCTAATTTTTATTATTATTGTAGCCGTACGATCTCTACCTTAAAACTCCTCACCACGGGATCAAACTGCATGGACACATATATATGGTGGTATGTACACAGATTAGGGAGTCTGATGTTGACCAGAGGTATGCTGCTGACCATGCTCGGCGCTGTCCTTCATCTCCCTCGCCTTCCCAGCCAGCTTGTGACGAGCCGAGTCCAGCTGGTCCGCCCCAGATGGCTGCTTCCCGGTCACGTATCTGTAGATCCATGTCAACACCGTCACCGAAGCCACACCAAACCCACCGGATGTCAAGAACCCCATTATTATGAGGGAAAGGGTGATCACGGCCGGGACAAGAACCGGGCTGAATATGATCATCAGGGGGGTGGCTATGGTCAAAGCTATGACCGTGCCAGCAAGGACCAACCCAGAGAGCACGAAAAGGGAACCACCGACGGTCACAGCGGTGGCCGTCATGGCGACTTGGTAGGACTTCTGGTGCTGATGCTGCATGCCTTGTTGACCGCCCTGGAAATGATAGACGTGTGTATCAGCCATTTTTTTTCCCGAGGTGGGTGGATCGAGGAAATGTTTGAGTGTGAATACGAGAATCTGTATGGGGAGAGAGTGATGGGTTGAAGAATAATTTAAATGGTATGAAGAAATGTGGTGGGAAGAGGGGGGGGCTTATGTGGGGGTGGTTGGGGTTTTGTGGGGGGCGGGGGGGTTGGGATTTTAAGAATCAGCAATCATCATCGATGTTTTATTTCAAGTTGGGCTACCTCAAATTTGTTTTCAGTTTAATTAGTCTCAGCCCAAGTCAAAGCCAAATGTCCTATTGGGCTGAACTGATGATTACCCATTATTTAGTTTCAGCCAAAGGCCAACCCAACTATTGGACTGAACTGATCAGTACCCTTTAAACAGTTTCAGCCCAATTAGATGATGATGGTCATGAGTCCATTAATCACTAAGCCTAATAGTAGGTTTAGTGAGTTTAGTTAAAACTATCATTGACATTTAGTACTACAGTCTAGTGGCATTCTTCTTCACTTGTAAGTAAGATATCTTAGATTCAGTTCTCGCCAAAAGTGAATTTGAACCACATTATTGTTAGTCTATTATGAGGTTTTACCCACTCCTTCACCCTCTTAGTGTAGATAATATTGTTTGTTAAACTAAAAAACTAGAATATACCCATTTGCTAGTATCTTGTAGGGAAACTATAGGACCTCTTTGTCCATATAAGAAACAAACAAAAGGGAAAGAAATATACACCAACACTAAGTTTTGAAACCAAAACCTATCAATTCACAAACAACCTGACCACCATATTTAAATTTCAATTTCTATCATTTGTTTGCATTGTATAACATTTATACGAAAATAATAATTTTCACCTCTGTATACTCTTCATTTTTTCCTTCTTCCGAAGCCTTTGGAGTTTGAGGCTCTGCGCGTGGAGTCGACCTGCTCCATACAAGGCCAGCTCTGGCGATGCGCTGCATCAACTATTTGCAAGGCCAATGCCATCAAGTCGTGGTCTCCATAAAAATAAAAAATAAAAAATAAATGCCCAAGGGCTTGGGGCTGTCACTTTTTACTGGTATTATTGTCCGAACGCCCATAGATGGCCGAAACATGAACCTCCCCACCTGCCAACCCATAAACCCTAATTCACAAGCACTCCGAATCATTTTCCTGAGATCCGAAGGATTCCGTGATATTATGATAAATCGTGTGGTCAGTTTTCATTAGGTACTATTTATTTAATTTTAAATTTCTAATAATTCTGACCGCACGTTCTACAATAAACGGACACGATCACGGAATTCTCCAAATCCCTAGGAAAAGGATTTTCCCTTAAAGCGTGCTCTGCGGGTTGCTCTTTGATATGTTCATCCTGATTCCACAAAAAATCCCAAAAGTGGTAAATGGAATCCACATGTTTGAGATTGACCGGATAACGTCGACTTGGTATTCCCTATCAAATGATAATTATTGGATCAGTGACCTGGTTTTGGGGATTGGTGTGGACAAGATTGTTGCTTGATATCCTGCCAATCCATGGATATATTGATTTGTTTTACTTGATGACTTGATGTTCGTTGGCACTGGATTGTGGCCTTTGGAGACTGGAAGGGAGGTAGATTCTCTGCCCTCTCACTTTTCGTGTCTTCCTATTTTGTGTAGTCACGATTAAACCACGTCAACATTTTATATTACTATTCATTTTTGTCTTGTTATCTCTATAAAAAAAATAATATAAAATGTTAACGTAGCTTAACCGTAACCACACAAAACAAGAGGGCAAGAGAGGCACAGGAAGTGGGAGAACAGAGAATCTGCCTCCGACTGAAAGATCCGCAACACTTTAATCTTATGAAGGAAGACCGCGATTGATCTGTTGAGGATTTTGGTTCTTAGTTTAGGTTAGGGTTTGTGGTGGATGATAGAAAGAATAATTTAGGATTCAATCCAGTAAAAAAAATTTTGAAAAAAGACTTAGGTTAATTAGTAGAGAACTTATATAATTATTGTGTTGAATAGAATTTTTTTTCAGAATATTTCATTTTTTTTTCTTTAAAAATGAACTACTAGTGACTTTAACGACAATCCATCATTTTCAGATTTCGAAAGACTTAAGTTAGTTGTAAACCACCTCCGACCTTATAAGTTGTAAAGGGCAGTTAATCGATGCTTCTGAATGGAAACACTCGGTGGAAAACTTTTCTCGAGGAACTTGACAGCTTCTTACTGAGCACTTTGGAAGAACTTAACCACCACAATGATATCGATCAGGAAAGGTGAAGGCTTAAAGCTGTTTTACTTTTTGATCGAGTCTTTCTTCTTTTCTTATTTGCATTTGATTCCCTTCACTTGGAAAGTTTAGCAAACGAAAGTCATAAAAAAAATCATTATTATTAAAAAGAGTGAAGAGTTTTGAATATGAATCACATAAATAGAAACTCATTTTAATTTGGTGTGTATTTTATAGACGCTTAAGAGATTTTTTATTTTTTTTTAGTATGAATTGGTTGTTTTATGCTATTATATGATCGAAAACCTTTTTTTTCAAATGTCCAACCTATTTTGTAAGTCAGGCTACTTAATTGTTACACCTTTATCTCTTCCATTTTTCTGGGCTCTTCCAAATTTGTGTTTTGGGTAGGCTTATTTTATAACATTATCATATTCTTTTTCAAATTCATTTCTTAATCTTTGACCTGTTAATCCTAGTAGCCTCATCATATACCCATTACATGTACTTTCTTCAAAAGTTTTTCCCGCTTTACTAGCTAAATAATTTTCTGTTTCTTTACTGCCTTTCTTAAGATAAAGATTTTCTTTATATTTTTCCATCTAAGCGATATTTTCTAAAAGCTCTTCAATTTGATCTAAAATTGTCGTAATAATTTTTGTTTTATACTGAACATCTATTCTATTGACTAAATCCGGTCTTCTCATCATTACTCTAATCTGTTGCTCAATTTGTAAGAGCTGCTCTAAAAGGCTTTCTTTCATATCGATATATATGTATTGGTGGTGGCTTAGGCATGTAGTTTGGTGGTTGAATAGGGGTTGTTCCATATGTTGATTTGTGTGTTGTGACTATCTTCAGATCATTTCATTGTGTTCGAGTTTTCTGCAAATGTAAAGTTGGAATTGGCTCTAAGTTAAGGTTTCCCCATATTTAATATCATATTTATTCTTTATATCGTTGGAAAATTAATTATTATTTTATTACTGTTTATGGTTTTCTTGTGAGCCAATGATATTAATCAGAGTTTCTTATCCGTTAAGGATTAGGGTTTTGCTTTAATTTTCACTATATATGGTAGTGATTGTATTAGTTTATTTAATTAAGTTAGTCACAATGTAGCCTTTGGGGATCCTATATCCGTTTCAGCATTCTCGGTTGTTTAATAATATTCTTGTTAGTCTTGTTCATCACGAACTCTGATATTCAACTTGGTATCAGAGCCAAGTTCGATCCTTCGAGATTTAATCTGCTTGTGTCTGGTATCAGTTTGTCCGTCACTCCCGTATCTCTTCCGCTTCTTCGTTGTCGGTTTGCTTTATTGTGGTGCTTGAGTTGTTTAGGATTTGTGTTTCTATTAAAAAAAGAAAAAAAAAAGGTATGTAGAAGATGTAATCTCTTTGATTCATGTAGTCTTCTTGACAATTTTATTTAATACAGTTTATTATATTCAGTTGTTTGTTTGTTTGTTGTGTACTTTGATATTCAACTCGATATCTCTTTTATGTGATGACGTATTGCTTGAATTTTGATATTTTTTAGCAACAATATTATCTCTTCTTTTCCAAGGTTAGGCTTAGAACCACAATGATTATAAATTTCTTTCATCAAAAAGTCCTTAAATCTACGTGTGGTTTGCATGCATTGGTGCCTGAAGAAGATACACATAATCAGTTAAGCTCCGTCGAATGGACGAAGTTCAACTGAATTACGCTAATCAGTTTGAATTAATTAATTAAGTGGTGTTAACTTGTAATGATGGCCAACTTGAAATCGGATTCACCAACCGCTTAATCGTCTAACTCGGATGAATAATCAGAGATAAAGCTCCTATCCTTTCGTAGCACCGCAAATACTTCTCAAAAGTGGGATTATCTATAAATTTTTGTCACCTAATAATTTAACGTTAATTTTTATACTAATATTATAAAATATTATGTAAAAAAATATAACATGATAAAAAGTCTAAAAAAAATTCAGAAGGTTAAGAAAGTCTCTTTAGCATTTCTAATTTTATCAAATCGAAAAGATGCTTATCCGACCCTAATAAATGATGCATTGAAATGTGTTGCATGCAATAGTGAATCGTTATGCATATCATTTTACTATCATACTAGTGGCGACACTGTGCAATGTGTCACACATTCAAGGATAAAATTAATGTGCTTAATAATTTGAGTCTGTTTCTAAATGGACGCCCCACTCAGCTAGCCGCTAATTGGCGAGAAATTTTTTAGTTGTGATGGAAACACGGTTTTTATATAAGTGGTGAAATTTTTAATTTTTAAGTTATTAACCTTTTAACACATATAATCCATCATTTATATAGGAAACGTGATGTACCACCTCGTGTGACGGTCACACTAAAAAATCTCTCCTAATTAACAAATAGTTACGTATAGATTTATAACAAATGCTATTTTGGATATATAAAGGCATAGATATCATTATAATTTATTGAAAATTATTACACACGAGATGTCATAAAAGAATGAGGATCCTCTCCGGATCCTTTTTGTGAGGATTCAAGGATCCTTTAATCGTGTCCGTTCGTCATAAATTGTGCTGTCAGTTTTCATCATATACTATTTGTATTCAATTTTAAATATAAAATTTAAAATGATTTATGACTGCATGATGTACGATGAATAAACATGATTAGAGGATCACCGGAATCCTCACAAAGAGGATTCGGAGAGGATCCTCATTCATCATAAAATAACAAGAAAGTTTGTTCTTTGAATAAAATCTTGGAGCTTTTCAACGAGTTGCACATATCAAGAAATTTTTCAATGTGTCGAGAACATGGTTTGATATACTAAGTATGATAATAGATGTAATTGAAAAAAAAAAAAAATTCAAGTATTCAATTACTTGGTGTACCAAATTGTGTTCCTGGCCTACTGAAAAATCTCTCGCACATATAGCCCAAAATCTTATACAG